ATATATATATATATATATATATATATATATATATATATATATATATATATATAGTCTATATAAATGCATTAAGGTATATAAATAATATAAATAATAAGGTACATAAATATTGTATTTATTAAAATGCATTTATTTAGACTTTCCGCCGTTTCTATCCCAATGCAAACCGGATATTAACTGTCTTCATATTTTGCTTAAATACGACACTTGAAATATACAGGGTGTTCTAAAATTATGGTACTTCTGGGAAATGTTCCTGAGGTCATTTTTTTTTTAAGTAACTTTTTCCTCAGCGAAAATGCGATCGGCAGCTTAGTGGCCAGTGAGAGGCGAGCTCGCCTAGCACTACGCGGCCAAGCCAATCAGCGGAACTGGACCTCGACCGCTCATTGGCCCGCCCGCCTCGCGCCAGCCGAGCACGCATCTCATTGGTCAGCGTTTTTCGTTAATAACTCGTAAACGAAGCCGCGGATTGCATTTTCGCTGAGGAAAATGCGATTCAAGTGAAAGAAAAAATTGTGATGCGCACATTGCAATATATGTATACCTACATATTCATTTCTACTTTTTACAACTACAGCTTGCAACCGAAAAATCTGAAAAATTCTATAATACCTCACGGACAAGTGACAGGGTTGAAATTTCGCACGGATGAGTTTTTCTTGCACAGCTATCGAACGGTACTATACTCATTTAAAAAATCTCTAAGCGCAATTTTGACCATCTTAATCGGCTAGGCCTTTTGATATTTATTGTACCACAATGCATATCTTATACAAAAATTGTAGATAAGTCTGAAGGACCCCGCTTTATTTCGAGGAGAAACGAAGAAGCGTCGTATCTACGCAATGTTTGCATCAATTGTATCTCACATATCGGATACGAAAATTTTTGAGAGATTTTTGATGAATTTCTTTCGATGAGGAACGAAGAAGCGACATCGACTTATTCGCCGCTGGAAGTTCGCGAAAGAAGCACTCGGACCGGTAAACGGGGTATAGCCGCGAGGAAACGGCGAAAACCCCTTTGTTCCATGGACGAAGCAAAACTTATTGAATAAGAGTGAAGCGGTGGGAAGCGGGTCGTCGCGTGCCGATCCAATGTCATCGCGCGCGCGTTGTCAGCCGCGATATTGGACCGGCAAGAACGTTTCTCGAGGTACGTACGAGCGATAAAGCGGCACGCGATGAAATTCGAGTAGAGTGAGAGTGAGAGGGTGGGGGGTGGAGGGATCACGAACGTGAAAATCCGTGCCGTCAGCACTAAACCTCGCTATTGGTTCCAGCGATTCCCATAATCGTCGATTTACGACGGCCACGCGTTCCCCCACGGGCCGATAAACTTGCGAAGCCGAGGACCGAGAGTGTCCCAACCACACACGTCGCTTCTTCTTCTCCTCTGACGGTATTTTATTATTTCTTTAATTTTTTCCGTTCCTGTCGAACCACTTTGTAACTTGGAATTCATTGTAATCTAATATAATAAATAATAAATATAATAATAAATATAATATTTTATTATAATAAAATAATATACTAAAGTATCTCGCAGAGAAATACTGGATTTTTCTGTCACGTTAAGCGGTCAAAATCAACCCGAAAATAATCATAAATACAAAAAAGTATTCGGTTGGCAACAAAATTATCTCGGTTTGCACGAATAGATAACGTTATGCTTGCATTGTCATTCTTTTATTAAGGTTATAATATAGGATCTTATTTCTGATTCATTGCCTTGGTTTGGCAAGAAAGTAATTTCGGTTTGCGCCGGTAGATAGCGTTATGATTGCATCGTCATTCTTTTGTTAAAGTTACAACGGCGCGTATACGTGGAATCTCGAAGAATCTGCGTACAATATTTCAGACGAAACGATTGATTTTTTAACAAGGCGTCGGAACTTCTTCGAGGGTTGTCTCTCTTGTGCTGATCTTGACTATAAAATAATGCCGGGTATTCGATTTTGCTAATAACTACAGAACGAAAGATCGAATTGTAAAGAAGATCCGCAGCACCGTGCATAGAGACATCTATGACCGGTATGGAAAGTTCCGAGCGAGGTGATTAATCGGTACTGAATTTGTTGGTCTCTCAGTCGCGACTAGGTTCGTCATCGTATAGCAGAACGTGTCTGAAGCTTCGCCCTATATTTTGTCGCGGAACAGATTGATATAATGGATATATTGGTTTGGCAAGAAAGTAATTTCGGTTTGCATCAATTAGACAGCGTTATGTTTGCATTGTCGTTCTTTTGTTGAGGTTATAATGTTTTTTGTTTTCAGCTTTGATAGTTGACGCGTTTAGGTTAGGTATAGAAACGAATTCCGTGTGTTTTGTTTATAACTGATAGCGGGAAGTGATGTCGCATCTTCCATATAGCCCCGACCTTGCGCCATCGGATTATCATTTATTTCGAAATTTACAAAACTCTTTAAACGGTAAACTTTTCAATAATAACGATACAAGGACGAACAAGGACCACAAGTTTTATGAGCGCGGAATCATGAAGTTACTGGAAAGACGGCGAAAGAGGTCATCGAACGGAATGGAAAATATTTGACTGATTCGAATGGAAATATTTGACTGAAGTTTTGGAAGTTCATTTCTTGTATAGAAAAAATGCAGTTTTCTTTCGCACTGAAATACCGAAATTACTTTCCTGCCATCACAGTAGTGAGATCAAAAAAATAAAAAAAAAATGAAAAAGAACTGAGAACATCCCTACGCGCCTGACGCGGCGCTTAACGTGTTAACAGCTGCAACAGAAAGTGATCTTTGTGATTTTTTATAAGTTTTCTCGAACTGAAAGCAGGAATTTTTCATTTACTTTTGTTCGTCATTTATCGCGCGTAGAAAGAGTTATAAAACTAGACTGTGGATCTTTATGCACTTATGATAAAAATGGATATATCAAATTAATGTTATGATAGCGATAGCTTCAGAAGAATTTAAAGATACTATCACGTGTTCCTTGCGACTTGTCACAATTAATAAAAGAAGAATGTATAATCTCTGACTCTCTCAACTCGTTAAAATTAATAAAAGAAGAATATATAATCTCTGACTCTCTCAACTTGTCAAAATTAATAAAAGAAGAATATATAATCTCTGACCCTCTCAACTCGTTAAAATTAATAAAAGAAGAATACATAATCTCGGTGCAACACCAACTTCTTGCAATTAATGCAGATAATTTTCATATTTTGAGATCATAAAGATTCGCAGTTTAGTTATAACTAGACCGCGGATGTTCATGCAAATGCATATTTTTATAGAAAATAGGTAAATCAATGAGACCTGGAGATCAGAAATATGTTTTATAATTAGAGGATTCTAAAGAACCGATTGATACGTTTTTCAAAAGGATTGATATCCGCAAAGCAGTTTTACGATTCGAAGTACAAACGACGTGTGCAGCGTGCCTGTACACCGTGTACACGGTTTTCATTGAACTAGGATTAATCACGGTCGCCAAGAAACGCGACGCATTGTAAACTCGGTCGCAGTGGACCTTTTTCTTTACTTTCAGATTCCGCTTGTTCCCCAATTGCTGCGCGACACGTTGCCGCGCGATCGAAGTGGAGCATAAACGAAATAAGCGCGGCATGCAATTGTACTCACCCTATCACTACTATCGAGAAATCTAGAATGTTCCATCCGTTCCGGAGATAAGCACCAGGATGAGCCACGAAGCCGTAGGCGATGATCTTCATTACGCATTCGACCGTAAAAATCACAAGAAATATATACTCTATTTTTTCCTGAAACACAGTAATCAGAAATACGGAGTTAGTCAGATGTTATCTATAAATTAATTGCGAACAGAATTGACTTTTGGAACTTTTCGCCTTATTCTTTGTGCGAATGAAAATGCTGTTCACCAATGATTTGTATTCGACGAATAATTGTGCCGAATTAACGTGAAATAAAATAAATAGAATAAATAACATACAATAAAATAAAATAGAATAAAATAGAATAAAGTAGAATGAAGTAGAATGAAGTAGAATAAAGTAAAACGAAGTAGAATAAAGTAGAATAAAGTAGAATAAAGTAGAATAAAATAGAATAATGTAGAATATAATTGAATAAAATAGAATAAAATAGAATAAAGTAGAATAAACTTGAATAAAATAAAAATAAAATAAAATAGAATAAAGTAGAATAAAATAGAATAAAATAATAGAATAAAATAAAATAAAACAAAATAAGCAAATAAATAAATAAATAAATAAATAAAAGTTTCTGTGACGATTTTGTCACGTTGAAAATCAGAAGTCGTCATTTTTCGCGCGAAAACCAACAGAACGATCACGCGGAGCGTTAACGCGCGTTGAACACCGAATCACGTCCGATCGGTTTACAGTTTCGATAAATAGTTGGCTGCTACGTGGGAAAAGTAACAGGCGGTCGCAGCAGCCGCGATGAATATTGAGAGCCTCCGCCTGTTTTTCCAATCGAATTGATCGATACGCGATTCCGGTCACCGCAAGATACACTGTCGCGACGAGCACCAACTTTCCTGAACCACGAAAGAACCGACTGTTTGCGAGCCACGGCGCCAGCGCCGCGGCCAGAAATCGGCGGAAAAACCGGAAATCTGGCTGCAGCAGATGCGAGACTGCTGCAGTTCGCGCGAACCTTCGATACAGTAATGTCTCTCCCTAATTGACGCTGAAGAAAGCATTTAACGACGCTGTTCGATTCTTTTCGACCGATCAAAAATGTTAACAATGATAATAAAACGTTCGTTCAATCCCTGTTCGACGAGATCAAAATTTCGCGTAATTTTTAATATACAGGGTGGAGCATTTTAAACAGATCACCTGAATAACTCGCTTGTTTTTGAAGATAGGAGAAAATACATGAGACCAAATTTACTTGGTATCGGGGGGCTCATAATCTGGTATTACCAATTTTTCTGCAGGTGGAGGCGTCAAGGAGATACGAAGGTCAATTCTGTTTTTTTAAATGGAACAGTAAGTTTTTTTACTTACATTCTGATATTTTTCGAGGCGAATACAATGAACTATTATGGTCATTCAAGGTCACCCAAAGTGACACAGAAAAGCGAAGGTAAAATACAGTAAAATGGCAAATAATCACACAAATTTGTTTATAAATTTAATGAAAAAATAATGTCATCTATTTACTTGTGTGGAATTTTTATCGTCATAATGTAAAAGCTAAGATCAAGTCCAATGCAACGACCACAACACTATGACCATATGACATTTAGTACGAAAAGTCCAGAAATATTTACGACGTTTCTAATCCTTCGCTGATATAGTATAAATCTCTGAATTTTTCTCCAAATTATTTTCTAAAACAGATAATTAAAAATTACCAATAATGTTTGAGGATACAGATAAGCGTACAATGCGATTGAATGTTTGTTTATCTTTTGTTGTTCTTTTTTACGTTCATTGTATTCGCCTCGAAACACTCTATCAGAATGTAAGTAAAAAACTTACTGTTCTATTTAAAAAAACAGAATTGACCTTCATATCTCCTTGACGCCTCCACCTACAGAAAAATTGGTAATACCAGATTATATATATGAGCCCCCCGATACCAAGTAAGTTTGGTCTAATGCATTTTCTCCCATCTTCAAAAACAAGCGAGTTATTCAGGTGGCCTGTTTAAAATGCCCCACCATGTATACAGGGTGTTCCACAATTATTTTAACAGCCGAAAATGAGGGGTAGCTGAAGTCATTTGAAGTAACTTTTTCCTTTGCGAAAATGCAATCTGGGGCTTTGTTTACGAGTTATTAACGAAAAACACTGGCCAATGAGAGGTGACGGTGCGAGGGAGAGGGTCCGCGAGAGAGACCGCAGCACGAGGCTTTGACAGAAGGTCGGGACGGACTCGAGCCGCGTTCGAAGTATTGAACAAGTCACAAGACGAGAACTTTCCGGATTTTTTTTACTACATAACAGTGATATTTTTAAGAAAAACGCTGTTCTCCTTTACTTTAGAACGTCTGAAGAATATTTACTAATTTTTCGGACCCGAAATAATATGTAGTTTAACCGTGACAGCCGTTTTAATTTTCTGGTGTGCATGACACCTCGTGTGTACCATATGAAATTTTTATGCAAAGTGTACAGTGAAGATTAACGAATGATTTGCAAAGCTGATTTAATAATAAATAAGGGACGTAAAGGATTTGTTTATTAGAGAGATATGAAAAATATTATCAGTAAGAAACTCACCCATTTAGTTGAGGATGCATTTGCTGGCTGAAATTCACGATGTCGAAGGGCACTGACCTTGTACAACGTACAGCTGATCTTTCACTGCACTGTCACCAAACACTGATCACTTAATTAATCACTGATAATCCGAAACATTTGTGGATATTACGAAAGATGACTGAGACGCGTTTGCAGATAATCGTTTATACGACACGTTCGCGGATAATCGTTTATTCGACGTGTTCGTTCGGCAGTCGACGTTTCACTGCCAAAAAATCGAGGCCTCGACCGTGGGCCCTTGTCGTTCGTCTTTCGGCCGTCCGAGGAAATAACACCCGATACTATTTTCTTCGAAGCGCAGGGTACCGCCAAATGAAATAAACAAGATATGCCGAGACGTAAACTGTGTTCGACCCGCTGTCACCCTGCACTCTTAGAACGTAATTAATGACCGTGCGAAGAAAGTGGTATCGATTGTCATTTCCTCGGACGGCCGAACGACGAACAACAAGGACCCACAGTCAGGGCCCGAATTTTTCGGCAGTGAAACGTCGACTTCCGAACGAACGCGTCGAATAAACGATTATCCGCGAACGAGTCTCAGTGATCTTTCTTAAATATCCACAAGTGATTCGGATTATCAGTGATTAAATAACTGATCAGTGTTTGGTGACAGTGCAGTGGAAGTGAACTTCGCAAATAACCATACCAGAGGTTCCGCCGTCAGTATCCCTCGAATGTTGCGGTCATTGACCTGGGATCAGCTGTTCGTTGTACGAGGTCAGTACGTACGAGTCAGCAAATGCATCCTCAACTAAATGGGTGAGTTTCTTATCGATAATATTTTTCATATTTCTCTAAAAAACAAATCCTTTACGTACCTTAACGCGATTATTTATTATTAAATCAGCTTTGCGAATCATTCGTTGAATTCTGTTCGTACACGGAATTATTTAAATTAAAATATCATTTACGAACTTTGTTAATCTTCACTGTACACCTTGCATAAAAATTTCATATGGTACACATAAGGTGTCATGCACACCAGAAAATTAAAACGGCTGTCACGGTTAAACTACATATTATTTCGGGTCCGAAAAATTAGTAAATATTCTTCAGACGTTCTAAAGTAAAGGTGAACAGCTTTTTTGTTAAAAATATCACTGTTACGTAGTAAAAAAAAATCCGGAAAGTTCTCGCTTCGTGATTTGTTCAATACTTTGAACGCGGCTCGAGTCAGTCCCGACCATCTGTCAAAGCCTCGTGCAGCGGACTCTCTCGCGAACTCTCTCTCTCTCTCTCTCTCTCGCACCATCACCTCTCATTGGCCAGTGTTTTTCGTTAATAACTCGTAAACAAAGCCGTGGATTGCATTTTCGCAAAGTAAAAAGTTACTTCAAATGACCTCAGCTACCCCTCATTTTCGGCTGTTAAAATAATTGTGGAACACCCTGTATAATATAATTAAATAATATATAATAATATAATATAATAATATTTATACCTGAGGTATTATATATTCTTGAGGTTATTTGAAGCAACTTTTTTCTTAGCGAAATTGCAATCCGCGGTTTTACGAGTTATTAATGAAACAACAGTGACAAATGAGAGACGAGCTCGGTTGGCGCGCGGCGGCTGAGCCAACGAGCGGCGGAAGCCCAGTTCCGCTGATTGGCTCGGTCGCCTAGCGCTAAGCGAGCGCGCCTCTCATTGGCCAGCGTTTTTCGTTAATAACTCGTAAACGAAGCCTCGTAGAATATTTTCGCTAAGGAAAAAGTTGCTTCAAATCACCTCATGAATCCCTCGTTTCTCGGAAATACCATAATTCTGGGACACGTTGTATAATAATAATATATAATTGTATATAATATTATATACAGGTTATATAATTATAATAATATAATATATAGTAATAAAACTAATATAGATATAGTAAGTAAATAAAAATAATAAAGTAATATAATATATTTATATAGTAATATAACCCTGTATATAATATAATATATAATTTTTAATTTATATCATAATTCAGGGCATTTAGCGCTACGATTACTTGCGTTCCTAATAATACGGTTTAATCATATCATCGTCCTTAACAATGTTTTTGCGATGCCAAAAATTTGCCAGAAGTATCGAAGCCTACAACACAGCGAAGCTTTCAGAAACCGTGAAAGGAACCGAATAAGAATCGCGACATCGCACCGGAGATCGTCGAACAGTAACGGTAACGCGTGGAGGGGGAAATACACGCCGATGGAAAAGTCGAAGGCCGAGAATGAGATAGCAAGGACACCACCAGGGATGCGCTTCCAGCGTCCATTTACTTTTAATATCCGAAATCGATCGATCATCGGCGAAGTGGCCGATTGGCTCTGGCTCGCGTTATATTACCGGCCTATCGTTCCCCGGCGGCTTCTATCGTCCTGGCCGCCGCCGCCGCTGTATTATCTTGAAATACGTCCAAAATATATCCACCGCCGGCGTGGCCCAGCTCTATCGTTTGTTTTCTTTCCAATGTTTTTTTCGCTGTTTGGCAACGCCGCGCGGAAAGTTTGCCACGTCTGGAAATATTTGCTGTTCCGAAACGTCGAAAATCGGGGCCGTGGGGCGGGGTGGGGGGAGAGGGG